ATTATTAAATTATACAAATTCAAATCAATTCCGTAGGTAGAATCAAATATCATGACCAACATTTAACCTAACCTTGTCATGTAAAAAATCTAGTAACATGAATACGTAATTTAAAATACAAAATTATGAAATTATTGCATAACTCTTAATTCCTCACTATATAATAACTATTACAATAATTATGAATGTAAAATGAAAACCAGCTGACAAAACTATACATCTTTATAATAGGAAGTCAAAGAAGACAGAATGGTGATAATTAATAACCAGGGGAGGAAAACAGCCAATGTAGTTAATCTAATACAATGTATTTAATCTAATCTACAGATCCATTGAATGAAACATGATTCAAATATCTCAGTGACTAAGTCACAAATATCATTAACACAAGTCGGCTACTTACTTTAATCACATATATTGATAATACAACTTTTCAAATAAAAATATATGTAATTATTCATCCTCCTCTGACAGCCACGCAACCAGACCCAAACACTTTCTTTTTAATGTAATGTGATTTCTCTCTCAAAAAGAAAAAAGTTAGGTATAAAAGGTATATATTATATCGTTTGCTCTCAGAAAAAAATCAAAGTGGTACTTTCCTAAGTCTATGGGTCTCTAGTATCATTTGTTCTTGGTTACACCAAATGATAACTAAAATTGCTTCCTTCTGTTTCTTCTTCTATGTGTTTCCAAAGAGGACTAACTTATTGAATAATAAAGATACTGTACCTATAACTCTTGATTCTGAAGAATGCATAGTTATTGGTCTGATTAATTTCTGAAATTCATATGGCAGAAATAATTGACTGTTCTGAGAGGTTTTATTCAATATATGTGCATGTTGCTCATCTTTTTCAAAAATGCTAAAGAGAAGAATAAATTACATTAAATATTAGCTAAATAAAAAATTAACATATATTAAAATAGACTAGATATTTAGATACTATCTAGTTAAAACTCCTTATTTCTCAATAATAAAACTGAGTTCCAGAGAATTTAACAGATCTGCCCAATATTATTAAATTACTTACAAGTGTCACAGCCAAAACTTCTCCTGATTAAGTTTCAGTGCTCCTCTTAGGTTACCACACTCTCATTTTTAAAATGTAATCATTTTAAAAGACTTTCTAAATATGTCAAAAATATTTTAAACCAAAGCTTTATTCACAAATAGCATGCTTTAGATTTCAGAGTACTTCAAACTTTAAAAAGATTTATTTGGAAACAAGTCAACTAGCATGAATATAGAAACAATTAAAACAATATTACAATCATAAATGGGTCTTTTAAGTTTTTTACTGGAAGAATAATTTCATTGGATATTCCCTAAATTAAAAAAAAATTTAATTTTGATAATTTAAATATTGATAACTCAAAATATGTATTGAGTAAAAATGACTAAATAGTTATATAAGTTCCTCTGAATACAGAAAATTTTATATTAAAAATTTGTCAATGAAGAAAAATTCTGTACATTTACCTATGGATGTGAGACATGGGAGTGGAAGAATCAAGAAAATAATGGATCCAAGAAAGTGGGATCAGGGAAATTAACTTGGGAGAGGAATGTGTTTAAAAGTCAGGATAAGAGCAATGGAGCTTGAGGAGAGGAATTTAAGAAAAATGAAAAAGGGCATGGGCAGAAGAGAAAAAGCAGAAAGTTTATTAGAAACAGCAACAGTAATACATCTATTTTTCCATCACACAATAACAGACAAAACCAATCTTTTTTTAAAAAATGCCCCCACCATTGATGTCTATTTTATCACCATTAGGATGAATGACAAGGAAACATGATGCCACAGATTCTGTAGCATTTTGGCCCATCTTCACTCTCTGTGGCAAAGGAAGAACTAGTCAAGCTGGTGACACAGTGATAAAATGGTAACTACATTGCTCTTCCCACCCTTGTTCCTCTTGTTTTAACTCCTATTGGTGACTCATCATGGAAAACTGGATGAAATGTACAACTGACAGTTTACAGAACAAATATGTTGTGCTTCCCTATTTCTCTCTACAAATTATCCTTGGCCTTACTAAATAACAAACATATTTGAATATTAGTCCATAATACTTAAAGGTATAAATTAATATTTTTCATAAGAAATGAACAGAAAATAGCCTGCACAAAAAAATAGCTACAGTGTAAATATTAGTGGCTTGGGATAGAATGTAGAATAAAATTTTTAGATGCAGTATATCTGTTCACATAAAATCCCACTTTAAAGTTTACCTATACCTTTCTTTCAATTCCTTTCTCTTTTCTTTATTTTTTTCTTCCAGGGTTTCTGAAAACGTTTTAGTTTCATGAAGCCTTGTAATCCGCTAAAAAGAAAAATGATAAAGCAAAGCAAATTAATTACCTGCAAAGCATTAAGGAACATATGCTTTATCTTAACTATTATTATTTTTTTCTATATAATCGCAAGATTTATATTTTTGGTAGTATTAGCTATCGTTTAGTGAAAGTTGCTAGAACAGTCAAATTAACAATAAATTGCATTCCTTTAACTTTTCCTTACAATTCCATTAGAAAACCTAGATTTCAAAGAGCTTCCACCTTTTTTTATTTTATTTTTTTAAGATTTTTATTGGGGAATTGGGGGAGGGGAACAGAACTGGGGAATCGGGGAAGGGGAACAGACAAGTTGCTGTCCCCTTGTTCTTCAGTCTAGTTGTGGAGGATGTCGCTTCA